AGACTTGCCTACACAGCTGCGATTGTCCAGCTGGAGCTGAAAACCTGTACTTTGTACTTTGCATACTAGACTTGTACTACAAAGTTGCGATTTTTCGAGCTGGAGCTCAAACCCTGTACTTCGCGTACTATACTTGCACTTCAATGTTGCGATCTTCCAGCCAGAGCTGGAAACTTGTACTTCACGTACTATACTTGCACTACAAAGTTGTGACTTTCCAGCTAGTGCTGGAAACCTGCACACTTCGCGCAATAGACTCGTACTTCAAATTTGCGATTCTCCAGCTAGAGCTAGTACTACAAAGTTGCGAATTTCCAGCTAGAGCTGGAAACCTGTACTTTGCGTACTAGACTTGTACTACAGAGTCGCAATTTACCAGCTGGAGCTGGAAAACTGCAAAGTCGCGATTTTCCAGCTAGAGCTAGAACCTGTACTTCGCGTACTAGACTTGTATTTTAAAGTCGCGATTTTCCTGAGCTAGAAGCCTGTTCTTCGCGTACTACAAAGTCGCGATTTCCCAGCTGGACCTGGAAACCAGTACTGCGCGTACTAGACTTGTACTACAAAGTCGCGATTTTCCAGCTAGAGCTATAGAACCCTGTACTTCGCGTACTAGACTTGTACTACAAAGTCGCGATTTTTCCAGCTAGAGCTAGAACCCTGTACTTCGCGTACTAGACTTGTACTAGAAAGTCGCGATTTTCCAGCTAGAGCTAGAAACCTGTACTTCGCGTACTAGACTTGTACAACAAAGTTGCGATTTTCCAGCTGGAGCTGGAAACTGGCACTTCGCGCTAGATTTGTCAAAGTTATGATTATCCAGCTAGAGCTGGAAACCTGTACCTCGTGCGCTAGGCCGCTGTACTACAAGGTTGTGATTTGCAGCTAGAGCTGGAAACCTGTACTTCGCGCAATAGACTTGCACTACAAGGTTCCAATTTTCCAGCGCGTGCTAGACTTCTGAGCGACACGTCTGAGCACAACTTCTGATTGACACTTCTGAGCGACACTTTTGAGCAACACCTGATCAACACTTCTGAACCGCACTTTTTCTGATCGACACTTCTGAGCAACACTTCTGAGCAACACTTTTTGTGATCCAGTTTTCTGAGCAACACTTCTGGTTGACACTTCTGACCGACATTTTTCAGCGACACCTCATCAACACTTCTGAACCACACTTTTTCTGATCGACACTTCTGAGCAACACTTCTGAGCGACACTCTTTTTGATCGACTTGTCTGAGCAACACTTCTGATCGACACTTCTGAGCAACACTTTTGATCCGCACTTCTGGTTGACAATTCTGATCGACAGTTTGGGCAACACTGCTGGACCACGATGAGCAACACTTCTGATCCGCACTTCTCGTCGACAGTTCTGAGCAACACTTCTGACCAAAACTTCTGATCCACACTGCTCATCGACACATCTGAACGACACTTCTGAGCAACACTGCTAAATTGACACTTCTGAGCGGCACTTCTGAGCAACACTTCTGATCGACACTTCTGACCGACATTTTTGAGGAACCCTTCTCATCAACACATCTGAGCAACACTTCCGACCCACACTTCTCATTGACACTTCTGAGCGACACCTTTGGCGACACCTGATCAACACTTGTGACCCCACTTTTTCTGACCGACACTTCTGAGCAACACTTCTGAGCGGCACTTTTTCTGCTTCTGATTGACACTTCTGAGCGACACTTTTGAGCGACACCTGACCAACACTTCTGAACCACACTTTTTCTGATCGACACTTCTGAGCAACACTTCTGGGCGACACTTTTTCTGATCGACTTTTTCTGAGCAACACTTCTGATTGACACTTCTGAGCGACACTTTTGAGCGACACCTGATCAACGTATCTGAACCACATTTTTTCTGATCGACACTTCTGAGCAACACTTCTGGGCGACACTTTTTCTGATCGACACTTCTGAGCAAAACTTCTGGGCGACACTTTTTCTGATCGACTTTTCTGAGCAACACTTCTGATCGACACTTCTGAGCAACACTTTTGACCCGCACTTCTGCTTGACACTTCTGATCGACAGTTTGAGCAACACTGCTGAACCACACTTCTGATTGACACTGATGAGCAACACTTCTGATCCACACTTCTCATCGACACTTCTGAACGGCACTTCTGAGCATTTCAGATTTCTGAGCAACACTTCTGAGCAACACTTCAAGCTGACACTTCTGCGCGACACTGCCGAGCAACACTTCTGATCGACACTTCTGACACAGACTTCAGAGCAACACTGCTGATTCGACACCTCTGACCGACAGTTCTGAGCATCACTTCTGATCGATGCTTCTAATCCACACTTCTGATCGATGCTTCAGAGCAACACTTCTGCGCAACACTTCTGATCAACACTTCTGATCCACGCAGCTCATCGACACTTCTGAGCAACACTTCTGATCGACACTTCTGAACGACAGCACTGGTCAACACTTCTGATCCACACTGCTGAGCAACACGTCCGACTGACACTTCCGAGCAACACTTTTGAGCAACACAACTGATTCGACAATGCTGATCGACACCCCTGACCGACACCTCTGAGCAACACTTCTGACCGATGCTTGTGATCAGCACTTCCGAGTAACACTTCTGGGCAAACGCCCACACACACACATGTAAGCGACGCTTTTGGGAAACACTGCACTCCTGAGCGACACTCTGAAAACACCTTTGAGCGACACGTCTGAGGCACACACAATCAGCAACACTGCTGCCTGAGCGACAATTCGAAGCAACATTTCTACACACATATCTCAGCGACATGAGCGATGCTCCTGAGCGACACTTCTGAGCGACGCCTCTGAGCAATGAGCGATACCCCAGAGCAACACTTTTTGAGCACACTTCTGATCGAAACTTCCGAGCAACAGTTCTGTTCGACACTTCTGAGCGACACTTCTGAGCAACACTTTTAACTGACACTTCTGAGCCACACTTTTGAGCGATACTTCTGAACCACACTTCTGATTGACACTTCTGAGCAACACTTCTGATCCACACTTCTGATCTGATTAACAGCTCCAGTTCTGAGCAACACTTCTAATCCACACATCTGACAACATTTCTGAGGGACACGTCTGAGCAACACTTCACACTTCCGTTCGACACTTCTGATCGACACTTCTGAGCAACACTTCTGATCGACACTTCCGAGCAACACTTCTGTCGACACTTCCGACCGATACTTCTGAGCGACACTTTTGATCGACACTTCTGAACGACACTTCTAATCGACACTTCTGATGGACACTTGTGATCGACCCTTCTGAACAACACTTCTGTCTCCAAATGCGCACCGCGCCACAGCGAGAGCGATTCGACCCACCAAAGTGCGCAGAGGGTTCACTTTGTGCGCTCAAAATATGCACCGCACCACAGCGAGAGCGATTTGACCCACCCAATGTGCGCAAAGGGTTCACTTCGCAGGCTCAAAATGCGCACCGCGCGGCGCGAGAGCGATTTGACCCACCCAAAGTGCGCAGAGGGTTTGCTTCGCATGCTCAAAATGCCCACCGCGCCACAGCGAGAGTGATTGACCCGCCCAAAGTGCGCAGAGGGTTCGCTTCGCGTTCGCAAAATGTGCACCGCGCCACAGCGAGAGCGCGCAGAGGGTTCGCTTCGCGTTCGCAAAATGTGCACCGCGCCACTGCGAACCACAGCGAGAGCGATTCGACCCCCAAAGTGCGCAGAGGGCTCGCTTCGCGTTCTCAAAATGTGCACCGCGCCACAGCGAGAGCGATCTCGCTGAGTCAAAAAGTGACGTGCCTGCCACGAAATCTACACCCAGGCGCCAAAGTACTGCGCCTGCCACGAAATTTGCACGAAAAGCTCCAAAGCGCCGCGCCTGCCACGAAATTCAACCAATACGCGCGAAAGTGCTGCGCCTGTCACGCAAACTAAGCTTGCCACAAACTCAAAATCATCCAAAGTGCGACACGCATCCAAAACTAGCACGGGACTGTGGCGCCAGAATGCTTCAGGTCCGCCAAAATGAGCCGATTGTACGACAGGGCCAACGAAAACAGCGCCGGCGCAAACACTATCGCGCGCCTGCCAAGCAGGACACCTCAAAACGACCGCCCCTGGATCGCAAATCCCACTGGCACGGCAACGAGAACATGCAGCCTTCCAAAACTGCGCCTGCGCAGCGAAACGACACATCCAGCTTGAGAAGCTACGATTCGCGCACAGGCCAACGAAAACAGCACATCACCAGTCATCAACACTCATGCATTCTGTGCTTCCCCACTGGGAGAGCCACAGCGCAATCATACGGACGGTTGCGAACAGTTGCGGACGGTTGCACAACATCCGGCAAACAAGGCTTCACCCCCAGACCCCCAAGATGAAACGAGAACCCTATGCTACGCATTCGGGAAAAATGGTCTGGCTTGAAAGTAAGTGGCTTTTATGTGCTGCCAAAGAAATTTGGGCAAACCTCGAACAGGGTTTATCATGCCAAACTTCCCAAAGATCGCACCTGTTTAAGTTGCAAAACATTGGAAAGCCGTTTTGAGCTGAATGTTTCCACATACCCTCCAATATCCTACGCGACACATAACTTGGGAAAGTCCTTTTGAACGCGAAAAGAAACTCGAACCACTGAAGAAACGCCAAATATCACACCATGCGTAGGTTGGAAACCCCTCTTGAACTGGAATTTGCACCATGTTTGAACTGGAAAACCCTTTTGAGTGGGATTTTGTTTCCAGGAACTGGTATGTGGCAGAATCAAGGACCCCCAAAATGATGGGCTTCCTTTTGCTTTCGAATTAAGTCAACCCCAAAAAGGGTACCTGCGTCAAATAGGACATTCAAAGAGAGAGGCGTTCCTGTAGATTCCTCTTGAGACCAACCAATGGCCAAAAGGGTACCCACGAGCTCGCTTTTTGAATGCGCGCAAAGCCACATATCACCTTCGAGCTCACCACGCCTTAAGCCACGCCTTCACCCAACCCAGCTCAGGCCGGGGCCCAACTGGGCACCGAGCACTTCAGCTCCGGCATGGCCAAGCGGAAGGCGTGCTCCCCCAAGAGGTTGCCTCCTACCCCAAGCCCCACGCCCCCCGCCCCCCCTAAACCCCAGCCACCGCATTTCCAAAGATGAAAAATACTCCATGGCCTTGGCCCACGAAAAAGGTGGACTCGCAAAAAACGAGATCTGAGGATGATGTGTGAGATTTAGTCTATTCAGACTATCCTAGAATATTAAGCTGATTTGGAGACCCCAAATAGCCAATATCTCAACCACAAATATACGTGTATGTACATGAATGATTGCACCCCGGTTGAGATTCTGCTTCTACTACCCCGGCTCAGCACGAGCCCCCCCCCTCATGCGGGTTCCTTGCTGCACTCTTAGGTTGGGGTCAACAAGCGGTATTGTCTGGGGGCCTGGGGGGTCCGTTTGGTCGGCCAGATCCCCAGCATCACCAGCTTTGCTCGGACCTAGGCCTGCCTATTGCCTTTGGGTTGAGTTCAGAGTTGCTTCTTGGGTTTCTTCGTGAATCGCATTCGGCTCGGCAAAAGACTGATATTCAGGATGCGTCGGATTTGTGCTAGGTGTGCGGCTGGTTTTGCAGTGGTTCTGGGCAAGTTTTGGCAGCTTGGGCAACGCCCCACACCCCATCCCAAAGCAGCTCAAAACCCGCATGGCCACAAGCAGCCCTAGCCAACCCAAACCGACCCAAAGATAACCTTAAACCCACCCAACAGCATCCTGGATATCAGCCTTTGCCGCCTAATGTGTACATCTTAAGAACAAGCAGCTAGTGGTTGGAAAGACTTGATTATATTTATAGGAGGACAGGCCAGCGTGTGAAAACAAATCCTTTGAGAACACGTACATGGAGAATGCAGGATTTGGACTAGGATTTGCAGAACAAATACTGCGCAGTTTGCTAGGAGACACGTCTGTTGGAAAAATGGGATCTGGCCAAAATTCCGGCAACATTGCTTAGATTGTGTAGGCTTGTTTTTGGACCGAACCAATCTATGCAAATTGCAAAAATACTCTACGAGTATACCTTCTAAAAGACAGGTAGTGTTGGGGGAGAGCTCCTGCAAAACATGCTAAGAACGCAGATTAAGGAAACTTGCTGAGTATTGAAGAGAACCAGCTCGTGCAAAATGATAAGTGTCTACCTTGACAGCAGAAACCACGGAGAGAAATCGTCCAAGCCTAGCTAGTCTTTTTTTCAAAGTTGAGCAAAATGAAGGTCAACCATGACTGAACGTTTCTCACCAGAACATGAGCTCTCAGCTTGTGGATGGGAAATGAGATGATACATGCACTGATTCCGCCCCCTTCCTGCGATTCCCTGCAAGGCCTTCTTCTACTATTCTGGCTATTCTGATAGTACCAAGAGATCACCAAAACAGAACAAACATATTTAGGGACATTTGGAGCACCTTAACATAGCATCCTAGGCCTTGGACAGAAGCAATTCGTGCCAAATGTTCCTAGACCAGCCACGTTTGGGGAAACGTCTGACTACTCAAACCAGGATATGCCCAAAACTAGACAGGTACTGAGGAGAATTCGGGGCACAGACACACTAAGCTTCTCGGATTGATCCTGCCTAAAGGCTTCAATGGATGACATGAGCGTCAGAAAAACCCGCAAAATGAGTCCTCCATCCGTATCTTGGCAGCTCAGGAGCTGGGCGCAGCTCGTGGCGCCACCAATAAAGAACAAGGTGAGCGCCTTGATCGCAAGGCTGATACCTGGCGACTTCTCGTGGGATCCAGATGCAACACGTGAAGTTGCCGACCGAAGGGACTACTTGGTCCGGAAGTTAAAAGCCTTGCGCAGCCCGGTAAAACCTGGGTGAAACCTGGGTCATACTCGATACCTGGTAAGGATCGCGGTTGCGACCCGAGAATCTCTTCGAGGAAAACCAGACCTGTCCTGTTTCTCCGCCGGGTTTGCTTTCATCCTGCGATCAACCTCAAGGTGCAAACAGTTAGGAGGAGGAGTGTTGTCCATCGCTCAAAGTCAAAAACTGTCAGTGGGATATGCGAAAATCCCCAACTCCAAGGTCTAAAAAGGCCTAAGAAACCGTACTGGGGAGACCCGAGCTATGTGCATTTGAGTCACAATCAAATTGTCCATCCCTTACTAACCTACGACAAATACCAGGCTCCCTTGTTGGAACACTCAAAGGCAAATCATACCATGGCTGAACATGCCACGCGGGCAGGGGGTACCTATTTTGGGGGTGGCTTAAAGGGAGACCAAAAGGAGAACCACCAATTCGGGGTCGTTCCCCCTAAGAAACGACGAGCCGCGTGCATTTGGGGGGTTGAGCAAAAGGTTCTGTACATGGGATGACCATTGGGGAAGACCGCAAAAAACACGATATTTCCCAAATGGGAAAAGATACCCATGCACAGTACGGTTGCTCCACTTGTCATTTTTGTTAAAGGACCTTTTTGATCAAGACCCAAATATCAGGCCTTACACTTCCAGTTGTGATTTTTCCAACCCTGGAAAAAATGAGAAAATATGTCCAGTAGTGATAGATGTCCGATTCAAAAAAAACAACAAGGGAAAACAGACAAATATCCATTTCAAGCAAACGGAAGCCATTTCACCCTCAAAAGACCAAAATGGGTGGTTGTGTCCTTCCCCAAAACTTTGATCAACCCCCAAATATTAGGTTTTATACTTTTATTCAGATTACCCTTTAAACCACATTCGCCGGTCTCTCCTTTTGGTCCCCCTTTAACCCCCCCCCCAAAAGCAGGTACCCTCAACCCACCCTCGACAATACCCCCCCACCCCCCCGAGTTCTCGGCGCCTGAGCTCCGGGAGAAGAGCTCCACCAGGCCGCAGAGCGCCAGCAGCGCCAGCGGCGCCAGGGGCGACAGCACCGCACCCCAGAACCGGGTCTGCGCGGAGCCGTAGGAGCACTCCAAACTCAGCGCGTCCTGGCGGACGAGAAAAGGTGATGCGTATATTATATATATGTTTCTGTATATATATATATATATGTATGTGTATACGTATAATGAAGCAACATTGGGCTTGAAAGAAAACAAGAAAACACGCATCGGGCTGTTATAAAAACCCGATGCTTTTCTCCGTGGACCCTTGGAGGCTCTAATCATCCTTCGAGCAAAAGAAACAACTTGTCGGCTGCCCTTGTCAAAAAAAGAAAAGAAGAAGAAGACAAAAAGAGAAAAACAACAAAACTTGTCAGTGAACTCCTGTAGTATGGACGTGGGAGGGATATGGGCGTGGTTTTGTTTAAAGGTATAACCAGTTTGTCTGAATCCCTTGGTGTGGCTACCCTCCAATAAAACACCAGTTATGCCCTGCCCGGCGGAAATTTGAACCCAAAGGCGGTATCACAAAAGTGGAAACCTGCACCACCTTCCGTCCGAACCCAATGTTCCTACCTCTTTGCACCCGAACAAAATGATCTGGGTAGAGCCGCCGACAGTTCCCTGATATTCACTGGCTGGGGTTCCAACTTGAGACGTGAGACGGTAGCCGCACGAAAGATGGGGTCCAGCTTCGGTTCCTGGAAAAAAGGGGATGTGTTTTCGAGGTTCAAGGTTGGTTTAAATCAATATCAACAAAAGAACAAGCGCCATTTCCTGGAGGTTCAAATGGATGTGGACGACCCCAAATGGGTGGGTATTGCTTTTGGTTTCCCGACAAAAGACAAGACGAACCCCTGTTCAGGGTACCGAGCGTCCAAAGGCGCCGTGCAAAATAGACCCTACGTGTCATTTGGCAAGGTGATGTAAACTGCTAAATGCTAAACCTTCACCCAAAAACTGGTTGACCAAAACAATGAATTTAGTGGATTCTTTGCAAGGAAAGGACCAGCGCCATCGCCTCCAAAAAACCGCCAAGCACCCGCGGCTTCGGGACGAAGCCTGGAGGCCCTGGGCGGAGAGCTGCAGCCACTGGACGTAGGGCTGCTCCCAGAACGCCACCGCGAAGCCCTTCTCGGCCTGAGAAAGGACGCGATCACAAAGGTGTCCGATGTAGGAAGCCAACCATGGTGGGTGGTGGGTGGTGGGTGGTGGGTGGTGGGTGGTGGGTGGTGGGTGGTGGGTGGTGGGTGGTGGGTGGTGGGTGGTGGGTGGTGGGTGGTGGGTGGTGGGTGGTGGGTGGTGGGTGGTGGGTGGTGGGTGGTGGGTGGTGGGTGGTGGGTGGTGGGTGGGGTGGTGGGTGGTGGGTGGTGGGTGGTGGGTGGTGGGTGGTGGGTGGTGGGTGGTGGGTGGTGGGTGGTGGGTGGTGGGTGGTGGGTGGTGGGTGGTGGGTGGTGGGTGGTGGGTGGTGGGTGGTGGGTGGTGGGTGGTGGGTGGTGGGTGGTGGTGGTGGGTGGTGGCGGGTGGTGGTGGGTGGTGGTGGGTGGTGGTGGGTGGTGGGTGGTGGTGGGTGGTGGGTGTGTGGTGTGTGGTGGGTGGTGGGTGTGTGGTGTGTGGTGGGTGGGTGGTGGGTGGTGGGTGGTGGGTGGTGGGTGGTGGGTGGTGGGTGGTGGGTGGCGGGTGGCGGGTGGCGGGTGGCGGGTGGCGGGTGGCGGGTGGTGGGTGGTGGGTGGTGGGTGGGTGGTGGGTGGTGGGTGGGATGTGGGTGGTGGGTGGTGGGTGGTGGGTGGTTGGTTTGTAGGTTGTGGGTTGTGGGTTAACGGCAACACAGTGAGTTGAATCGCTCATTTTGCCCGCAAGTGAGCTCGTGATCATTTGTGCACATCTATTCAGCCCCTGCTCTCCCCCGTTTCAGCAAGAGCACTCTTCAGTCGACCCTCTCCCTTCCCTCCCCCCCCCCCCAAAACCCCCCCCTTCTTCGCGAGGGGCCACGCCTTGGTGTCCAATTTGGTGGTACCCAGCTTCGCCACCACGACCCACAGCTGGCCCAGCTGCAGCAACAGCGGCCCTTGGGACACGAGCAGCGCCAGCGCTGCCTTCTTCGCATCCGGAACCCCAGCCGACGGCTCGGGCTCCGACGCTCGCCTTGGGGAGGTCCACCAAAAACGGCAACTTGGGGCAGGTCCTTTTTCTTGGATTGCGCGAGCAACTCTCCAAGTTGAACAAAGGTGGATTCAACACTCCGGGCAAACAGGCTCGGCCACTTTCGCCAGATCGCTCAAAAAACCACACGCGCACCCTCACAAACAAACACACAAACAGCAAGGAAAGCACAAAAATACACTAAAAAACGAAAACGCTTTCTCCCTCCCCGGCTTCCTCCCGGCCCGCCTGCGCCACACGAATCCCGCGATGGCCAACCCAGCGACGCCCAAGACCAGCGCCGCGCCCAGCGCCCGCTTCCTCGGGCCGGCGGCGCAGGGCTTGCAGAGGTGGCCGGCGGAGTGGCTCCCCTCCGCGCAGCTGATGCACAAAGGCCCCGCGTAGCCTCGAAGAGATGTCTGCTCGAGCTGTCCGTTTTCGGATCCGAAGTGGCGAACTTGTGAAGTGAACCCGCCAAACAAAAAGGGGCAAAGGGTGCACTGAACAACTGGGACCAGTATGCTCGATGTTGGGATCGATTAATCCAGATCTTCACCCCTAGTGAGGGGGAACAACAGTCCATGTGAAAACCACACCAGTCACTAAGACCCTCAGGAACCTCAGTCAGAGAGGATCCCGGTTCTATTCAAAAGGAAAGGCTCCAACTTTGAGGGTGCCCTTGGGTTCGGAAAACCCGCCAACCTAAAAAAAGTGGCACAATGCTTGCTGGTAGGGCTCCAAGCTCCAGAATATATGAGCAATGGTCAAAAATGGCTTTTTGTGCTTGCCCCAAGAGAACATGGGAAGCTTAGTGATTCCCCTTGCTTGTGTGGGGAAACTAGTGAGTCCCGCATGTCCCTCCCAAATGGACCGTTCACTGGAAATATGAACTGGACCTGTTTCCACCAAACGGATCCCAGGAATACGTGGGTGAGGACCCCAATTTCTGCCTGTGGCTTCCCAAGCCATGTCCAGCCCTGCAAGAGCACTCATGAACTGCGAGATGTTCTACGGACACGGGTACTTGAAGAGCCCCTAGGGAGACGCAATTTGAAAAAAGTTGCAAGGAATTTCCTCCACTCCTTGTCAGGTGCCGATGTGTATGGGAGTGTACTTGTTTCCGTTGTCAAGTTTGGAAATAGAAGGCATGGTCGGCTGGCAAGCGAGTTGCTCTCGAAAAGAAGACTCGCGAACCCAGGTTGTGGATGTGTCAAACGGCCAAAACATTTGGTTTGGTATCTGCGGTCCCATCGTTGCCATGGAACCTCACTGAATCGCTTGCGAGTTTCCCACGGCAAATTGGGTGTGTCCCTTTTTGGGGGAACCCGAAAAACGGCGGCTTATCTATTGCTTTCCTTTCAAAGCCATGGTTTTAAGAAGGTTTCCCCAAAAAAGGACACAAAGCCGAGGGCAACGCCGCTAGGTGCCGCTGCTTCGGGGCCCTTCGGGTCGAGCTGCCGGGCGCGCACTGCCCATCCTTCGAAGATGTGCAGCGCGTGGCGGCGGGCTCCAAGCACCTGGGCTAGGCAGCAGCCACTCCAACCCCCCACCCCCCCCACCCCCCCCCAACCTCCCTGTGCTGATAAGGGCCCATCCCAAAAAAAAAAGAAGGAAAAAACACCGGGAATCTTCAGGCGATCGCGGGAAACAGGTTGAATTGCCTAGGTGGTGTGGGATTATTTTGGTATGCGGAGACAAGGAGTGGAATACTGTGAAGCAAGCACAGGACAAAATGAAACACCCCTCGCCTTCCCCCCTCCGCCCCAAGCCACGCCTGAAGGTCTTCGCATTCTTCGGGGCCAAGCGCGCCCAGCCCTGCTCAGGGGCCACGCTGGTCGCCACGTTCCCCACGCCGCTGCAGTTCAGATGCAGCTCCCCGCAGGCCACGCAGGCGCGCCCATGCAGCGCCTGGGGGAAGTGATGGGGCGGGGGGGAGGTGCCATGGACACTTAGCGTCTGTGCAGCCAAGAACCCTCAAAACCAAGACCCCAAAAGAAGGTGGTTGCAAACTAGACCCCAAGCGTCCATCATGGGGGGGGGTTAAAAATATGTTTACAAAAGCAGGGAAATGCCGGGCGCACCAGGGAAAAGGGCATAGTAAAACGGGGAAAGCAGGAAAACTACTTGATATGAACTATCAGCATCCTGCACCACGTTCCTGAAAAACCGGTTCCAGGTTAGTGGATGGGGTGACACGAAGCCCTTAACTCTGCGAGTTGATTTGGGCCCCCGGCCAGCTTGGAGAGCACGTCCGGCTGGTGTGTTGCAGTTGGAGTAAGTGTCCCTTTTAGGTTTAGATTGGCTTCATTCCATGGGCCATCGGACACTTTTGGCTTGTGGTTTGGTGGTTGGGTTCGGTTTTTGCAAAATCCTCTAGCTGGAGGTTGGGGAAGGCACGGCTGGGGGCATTCTTGGGTTTTATGGCCGAGGAAAACCGAAATTCAGCCCGGTGTCCCATTGTGGACATAACTTGGTTCAACTTCTCACACCAATTCAAGTGTATCTCGCGTAGATATATATATATATATATGCTCACACCCCCCCCCCCATGAACTACATTTGGGGCATGTGTCTTTGATCCATCTGCTCATCTGCGTCTGAACTTGTCAAGTCTGCCAACACTACATTTGGGGCATGTGTCTTTGATCCATCTGCTCATCTGCGTCTGAACTTGTCAAGTCTGCCAACACCAACTTGTCCTTGTTCATCGGAGGTCTGTGTCTGCATCCACCAAGTGCCAAAGATAACACCAAATGCATCTGGATGAGGAAATGTTGAGGAAATGTGAAGACATGTCAACCATATTCTGAGCAAGAAGTGAACAAGTCATGAGGGAGCAATGATGAAGCAGAGACGAAGCAATGAAGAAGTGATGAGGAGGAGATGAGGAAGTGATGAGGAAGTGATGAGGAAGTGATGAGAGTGATGAAGTAGTGACGATGTAATAAAGAAGTGATGAGGAAGTGATGAGGAAGTGATGCGGAAGTGATGAAGCAGTGACGAAGTAATGCAGAAGTGATGAGGAGGTGATGAGGAAGTGAGGAAGTGATGAAGTAGTGACGATGTAATAAAGAAGTGATGAGGAAGTGACGAGGCTGTGACGAATGAGCCAGGCGTAAGGGACGAAGGATTGTTAAGAGAAGCAGCTTGAACTTGCCCACATTCTGCAATGTAGATGAAGACATGTTTGTGGAGGGATGGCTTGTGGATCCACAGATTGTGGAAAGCATTAAGCCTGGAACAGGCGGGAAGCAACAAAAAGTTGCAACTCTCGCACCTGCTGTGGAGTGGTCTGCTCTATTAGCCAAAGGCTTCTGACACTGCAAGCTGGACTGCGAAAAGAACCGAGCGCGCTGCTGTACTGAGTCCAAGGGCACCTCCTCTTCAAATAGACTGACCAACACACCACAAACCAAAAAAAACAAAAAAAAACTCGAAGAAAACCAAAAAACCTCGAGAAAACCAAAAAACCAAAAACCCAAAGACTTTGCTGGTTTTGGAAGACTGCTTTGGTTTTTTGATGTTCTCGAGGTTTTTTTGGTTTCCTTTGGTTTTCCTCGAGTTGTTTTGGTTTTTTGAGCTTATGGAGCCCAAAAACCAAAAAAACACATGTGTTTTTTTGGTTTGTGCACAGTGCTTACCCACCAAAACCATAAAATACACTGTGTTTTTTTGGTTTTTTGGCTCCATAAGCTCAAAAAACCAAAAAACTCGAGGAAAACCAAAGAAAACCAAAAAAACCTCGAGAAAACCAAAAAACCAAAGCAGTCTTCCAAAGCCAGCAAAGTCTTTGGTTTTTTGGTTTTGGTTTTCTCGAGGTTTTTTTGGTTTTCTTTGGTTTTCCTTGAGTTGTTTTGGTTTTTTGAGCTCATGGAGCCCAAAAACCGAAAAACACAGTGTATTTTATGGTTTTGGTGGGTAAGCACTGTGCACAAACCAAAAAAACACATGTGTTTTTTGGTTTTTGGGCTCCATAAGCTCAAAAAACCAAAAAAACTCGAGAAAACCAAAGAAAACAAAAAAAAACCTCGAGAAAACCAAAAAACCAAAGCAGTCTTCCAAAACCAGCCAAAGTCTTTGGTTTTTTGGTTTTTTGGTTTTTTTGGTTTTCTCGAGGTTTTTTTGGTTTTCTTTGGTTTTCCTCGAGTTGTTTTTAGTTTTTTGAGCTTATGGAGCTAAAAAAAAAAAAAAACACATCAAAAAATGGAGGTGGTTTACCACTCGGCCAAAACAAACTTCAAAAACTCAGTGTTTTTGCACTTTCTACTGCTGAGATGCAATTGGTTGAGGGCCGAAATCCGGCCGGCAGTTTCTTGCAGTTGTACTTCCAAAACATGTAGAAAACACCGTAAATACCAGTGTTTTGTAAGGGCTATATAAACTGGGCAATGCAAATGTAGTTCATGGGGGGGTGTGACCATATATATATATATATACATACATATACATGTACACTTGTGAATAGCAATAGTCTAGTACATTGACATTTGATATCCGAATCGAGAGTCATAAATATCCGCTGCTTTGCAGAATTTATCCCTTGCCCAATGTTTAGGTGTAGACCATGAAGTAAAAAATATGTATATATACATATATATATATATATGTCAGGGGTAACATGCAATATATGTATCAACTCACTGGATTTTCCTGCAAGTCTTGAAAAATGAGGGGACCACATGGAACATACCAAAAGCCTTGCAATCAACCTGGGGTTTAGCTGAGATTTCGTCACGAAAGATATCCCAAAAGAGACCCTTCCCAAAAAACCGCGACATGGGTGGCTCGTCCTTTTTTTCAGGTACCCTTTGTGGGGGGTTGGTTTCAAGGAAGACTAAAAGGAAAACCCCTTAAAAAAGACACAACCCACGCGCGGAGAGACGTTCCTTTCGCCACCTCGCCTGGCCCATGTTGCATGCGCAACGGTAGCCGGGCGCATCACCTGGCTCCTTCGAAAACTATGGCGTACGAGGAAATGGCTTCTTGGTTTCCATGACATCTTTAACGGGGAATCAAATCATCCCAGGGCTTCACAGCGGTGCACAAGTTCGTCCATCCACAGTTGTGATGCATGACCAAATTGAACCACCCTTTGAGTAGCCTGGGCTGTCCTCAGATCCCCCGCCAAAAGTCTAACTTTTAATGGGTTAAATTCGGAAATCCAACCACGAAACACTAAAACGCTAAAAAATACAAACCTAAGTTGAACCGGATGGCTGGGGCTTGCCACCAAGCAACGCGGCGGTACCCAAAGTACAAACAGAACCAAACTGTCCTTGGGGTGGATTCGGCCAAAGTCGCAGAGGCACATGTCCACAGAACTCGCAGCCACTGAGGCTGTGTCGCTGGCATCGGGGCACTGCATGCACTGGCTCTGGTTGAAGTCCTCATTGTAGCGACCTGTCCCAAAAGGGATGGCTTTAACAGAAACCACAGCGGCAACCATTTTGTGTGGTACCTTGTGGGAGAAACCTCTTTTGGATGTGTACTATTAGCCGAAACCCAACAAGAAGCCAGCCATTCGCTATGGTCGCTCGTGAGAGGATCCCTTCTCGGATGTGTTCAACAAAAAAACTTGAAAGGAAGCCACCCATTTTGCACTACCTCCCCCCCCAAATAAAGAAGCTTTAAAAGCAAGAAGAACCAAAAACATGCTTGATTCTGTTCCAAATTTGTGTATTTCCTCATCCTACATAATTATTCCTATATGTCTAGATATCAAACATTGGCTCCCAATGTTGTAGCGTAAATCGCCATGCTATTGGAGCCCGCCTTATCCGGACCGTATAAACACATAAATATTGTAGCACCACCGGTTTGAAAAACGAAGGCAAAACTTCCAAAGAGATAGTGTTCCAAGGCGCCTTCTTTGCCAGCTCATACGTTCAGCCTTTGAATCAAAGCCTCTAAGGCTGTAGATAACTTGACCACAAGAAGCGAATTAGCAAACCTTGCGATGCAAGTATAAGCTCATCAGGATTAGTTGCCTCTGCCTGAACATGTAAAACAGACATGGGGAAACCTCCTCACATAATGAAACCGCTACGTGAATCAACCAAACTGCACATGGTAAGTCTAATGTATGGTGCAATCGGAAGACAACCACGATAGCCACTATACAAAAGGTACCCTCCCTGCAGCTAACATGGAAGGCACAGGCCCTTTGAACACACAACACACACACATCCGCCACTTGGGGCAGATAGTTGAAGGAAAAACAGCTGGTGGCGATCGGAGAAGTAGTGAAACCCTCACTCACGCAGCACGCTAGCCGTGGCAAGCAGCTTGGTGTTGCCCTTGATGGCCTCTTCTGCACACACCCACCCACCCACCCACCCGCCCACCCACGCACCCACGCACCCACGCACGCACGCACGCACGCACGCACGCACGCACGCACGCACCACCCCTCCCCCCAGGCCTGGCAGGCACTGGCGGCAGTTGGTGCCGTTACCTTCCCAGCCCGGCAGGCACCCGCACAGCTCCTCAGGCAAGTTGGGGGATTCAACACCGCCAAACAAGACCTACATTTGGGTGAAAGTGGCAAGATTCCCCCCCGCCCGAACAAAAGAAAGTAGGTTAAGGGGACGATATATGTCAGAAGCATACAGGAATTGTGACATACTTTCCCCCAACTCTATTGTTTGAAGACCCACGTGTTTGGTTCCAGTCAACCAAAACATGGTTTAACAAGCTTGGGTCTTGTTCAGCATCCTGCTTGGTTTCCCTGAAGGGCCCAAGGTCTGTTTGCTTACGTTGCCCAAGCCGGCCTCTGGCAGAAAGAGGTCGGGGGAAATGAGGAGCTGTTGGCTGTTCAGCCCGTAGCAGGCATAGCCCTTGGCCTGAAACGTCCGAAAGTGATGCGGAATATTCGGGCGACGGATTCAGGGCGTAATGAACTACCACTGGGTTTAAATCTACCCTGAGGTAGTCAAAAAGTGGAAGCCTGCATGAGGGTCGTATTGAATAGTGAAGCACATGGGGCATACGCCACTCAACTTTCCGAAAACCGAAAGGATGGGGAACCGCATACTTCGGTACTTGCTTACATGGTGTCCAACATTAAAAAAAAAAAACTCACAAGCATAAACGGCCACCAAAAATCCTGAACCATATGAAGGAGGGAGGAGGGGTGGGGGTCTGTGTCAAAATCGGGAGAACCAAAACATGGAAGCTTTCCTGATGGTTTCCCTTTTTGCCAATCCCCAAAAGGGCACCCAGCCTCAAACAAACACACCTCACGGAACAAACGGCAAACCCAATCTCTACCTCCGGCTTCCTGTCTGGGATTTGAGGCCAGCAACCTGACTTCTTCTTCTCGTGCTTTTCATGTTTCTGTTGCTTTGCGTGGTGTTCCAGTAAGCAACGAAAAAGCTCCCAAAACAAGTTTGGAGTTCAGGTTCGCACTTTCTCTCGTTTCTTGTTTGTTTTCATGTTTCTTTTTTTACCAGACTTGCAGGAAACCACCAGAAAGAAGAAACCGTCGCAAAATTTAAACAATGATACGGTTCTTGTTGACTTTTCATGTGGCCCCCTTTGTGACACTGGCGCTGACAAATTTACCACTTACTGCTAGTCCCGGCTACAGAGTAACCACTCTCGAAGCCCTTCCATTTTCCCTCTTCTCCCCTTCTCCCCTTCTCTACCTTCTCCCCCTCTTTTTTTTTCCTTGCCTTGTCGGTCTTTCTGACCTCCAGAGTCCTCTTCACCCTCCCGGACCGCAGCAATCTCAGCGGCTCGCTGGTGTTGGTCAGCGATGTGCCCTCCAAGTTGATCTCCACACCCAATCGCAGGGCCTCGCCGTTCATCCGAGGGCTCATGGCCATTTTTCGGGCCCCGTACAAGCCCCGACCCCAACAAAGCCATTGAGTTTCCTGGAAAAAATATGTCCCTTTCAGCCACTTTGCGACTTTGAGGATGAGAACAATATGATGTATAGGTATACAAAAATTGAGCAAAAATTTAGATGTACTGTAGTTGAATCCCTGACAGGTTTAAACTTTCTGTTCAAACGTTCCGGATCAATCGTGGTTGAAACGGCTGTTGTTCAACAGCTGTTCTTATGACCAGGGCTTTGGCGGCGGTGGCTCTAACTATTAGTTGCTCAAAACCCTAGTTTTTCTCAGAGGGGTTGTAACAACGGTTGTCAAACATCCCCTTGTTTAGGTTTCCTTTAATGTCGAGTCCGGATTCATCAACCTGCAATTTATGGGGATGTTTCCCGTGAAACTGAATGATTCCCTCGTCACTCCCCAAATCACACTCAACCAAGGGGCCATCAATCCACTGGGGTCGTTTCTTTCGTCGAAACTGTCATTGGTCTGGTGTTGGGGGGTGGGGTCGGACCCGCATTTTCTGCAGAAAATGGGGGCCGGGCTGTGCAGGGATTATTTTGTAACATTTGACGGAGACAAAACCACCATGTGCGCGATCAGTCTGCTAATGTTACCATGTTACCAGCAACTCAAAAGATCCACCCTTCTGGCAAATACGCATGCGGCATGCGTGGGTTCGTGCACACGAGAGCCATACACAAACCAGACAAATCAACAGAATAATAACTAAAATGTGTGGAAACACGTCCTTGTTGTTCTAAGGCTTCCAATCATTCCCAAAGGGACGAGCTCATGGTTGTCTAATTATCATATTTCCTTGAAGTATTCTAATATTCATCTATTCCCGAAGAGGGCGGGCTAACCGTGGGAAACTCCAGATTTCTTGCTTTTGCTGTTCTCTAGTTATCCCTAAAAGGACGGACACCGGCTCAACCCCCCCGGCCCAATCTCTAACTTAATGTCGAACTCGGATAAAAGACCAACTCGAATTGAGGTTTCAAGCTTATTGAAGGCAGGGTTCCCTTTATTCATCAACAAGGGCTTTGTCCAAGAGGGAATTCAACTGTCGCTTCAAAACCGTCATGTTTCGGCTTCCCCTTGGGGGCGCCCCTTCTTTCCCGGCCCACAACCTGCATTTCGGCTCTCCTCCGCCCCCCCTGCCTTCTGCAAAAGTTTGGGCGCCAGCTGCACGCCTTCCGCCTGCCGCGCCAGGTTCAGCAGCGTCGAGGAAAAACCCTCCACCTCCGACGGTCGTTGGTCATGTTGGTCACATGGCGTTCCGTTGGGTTCCCTTGGTCACGTTGGTCACATGGCCAACTGCGTCGAAATGGTCGTAAAACCAAAAGGAAACCAACCACGTCATGCACTTCTTGCGTTTTTTGAGGGTACCTTGCTCAAGGCTGGTTTAAACGGAAGTCAAACACAAAACCAGCATCTGGGGCCGAAATAGGGTTTCGTCCATACAAACTGGTGCAGGATTTTGTCCACCAGCACTTTCGCCGGACCTGGGTGATCCGATTCTGCTCCACGTTCAGGGTCTGCAGCGATCTCGACAAGGGAGCCACCCACCAGTTCCAGACCTCCCTGTCCACGTCTGCCGCCTTTGGGTTTTCCACCGCGCCCGCCATGAACCCCTTAGGCCTTTCGATGTTCATTGGGATTCCTTTTTATACGCCGTTTATTCGCAAAGGCCAAAAGTAGGACCAAAATGAGAAGTCAGCTTGTTGAGCAAAGTCAAGTCCTCTTGGTGGCAAAATCCTCTGAAACACTACATGGCTCCACTCACCGGGCGGGCCATGGTCTCATGGGAAAGGGCAGAGAAAGAGTGCACTCCGATATTCCGGAGTTCACAGCCCGCGACTTGCATGCCGACTTGACTCGCAGGCCTTGATGCGCAGCAAGTTCGGGATGGTCCCGGACAAGTTGCTCCTGGCCGCGTTCACCCGTGCCAGGCGCGGGGACGCGGCGAGGGCCAGCAGCAGCTCCTGGGGCGATCCATTTTGGGGACATGCGTGTTTGAGCGACCGAGACGCCACCAAAACAGCGGACACCAGAACACCTGTGTCCCCAATCTAGTCTAGAATAAAGCACATCAAAACTTTCTGAGTAATAGAGCGTTAGACCCCATAGCTGGACATATTGTGCAAAACAAATAACAAACACACCCTGTTCGTCTTAAAAGGACAATTCTGACTTCAGCTTTCCACGTTCCACTTGGTTTCCGAAACAGGACGCCTTAAAAATTGCAAGAGCGATGTCAACCAAAAGGCGGAGCCGACCCCACCTGACAAGGAATGTTTAGCTGCAAATCACCAAACAAAGCACCTAACATAACATCCAAACCAGTCTGGAAAGGAACAGAAAGCAAAAGCGGGCATGCACCTCCAAGCGGTACGGAGGGTGATACACGCCGTCACAAAAGCAGTACGGACCTTTGCGGCTTTGACAGGCGGAGTTTGTGGGCAAAACTGGTCGGAGCTCAGAAACGGACACGAATGGAGCTTTTGCCGGGTAGTCACACTTGGCATCTTGGACGTGAACACCATCGCACTCGGTGTTTGTTGGTGAGGAGCCACTGATGTCAAAGGTGACTCTCTGAGGCAATTGAGACCATTGATTCCTCACCTCCTTGACACAGCGCACCTCGAACTCACGGCCTGCCTGGATCACGAGACCAGACTATCGTCGGTTCCTTCCAAGCAACCCCGTCTACCACGGCGACAATCTGGAACCTAACGCGCTAGCGCGCAGCAAACGAGTTGAGTGAGGGCAGGAAGGAGTTGCAACTGCAGCTGAATGCGCGCAACAGGCGCTGCAGTGCGCCGAGAGCTGCATGCGCCCCAACAGTGCTGCAGCGCGCCGAGAGCTGCATGCGCGCAACAGTGCTGCAGCGCGGAGCTTGGCTGGCACAAGCAGCAGACTCTGACCACGATGCTTGCCTCTAAGTAATGAGCCCCGCTCTCTCTGAGAAGGATGCAAGGAGCGAGGACCAAGGCCACGTGCGCGGAAGCTTTGCGCTGTCAGTGTCTAGTCACTTTTTCTCCCTTGAGTTTTTGCCCAAAGGTGAGAGTGCCAGGCTTGAGGTGGTGATCAGGAGCGGTCTCCACGAACTGGTGGCGCAGTTAAACTATATCTCAGATCCTCGTAAAATGGCTGGGGATTTGGATGCACCAAGTGCTTGGAGGAACCAGAAAATCTGGCCGCGGCCCAGTCCTGAACCGCACCGTTCAGCGGGCACCCCGACACCTCGGTCCGAGGGGAGTGGGCTGGGGACAGTTATAAAAAGAAAATGGAAAAAGAAAGCAAAAAGAGAAAGACAATGAGAAAGGAAAAGCAAAAGAAAGCGAGAGAAAGAAAAGAATGGAGAAAGACAAAGACAAAGAGAAAGAGAAGGAGAAAGACAAGCAGAAAGGAAAAGCAAAAGAAAGCAAGAGAAAGAGAAGAAAGGAGAAAGACAAAGAGAAGGAGAAAGACAAACAGAAGGAGAAAGACAAAGAGAAGGAGAAAGACAAGCAGAAAGGAAAAGCAAAAGAAAGCAAGAGAAAGAGAAGAAAGGAGAAAGACAAAGAGAAAGAGAAGTAAAAAGAAAAAATGCGGACAACTACAACGCTTTCAGCTTTTGAAACTTCTGCCCACCGGCTTCGCTAGCTCTACTGGTGATTGTGGCTCAGTTGGTTTCTTCTGGGTTAGGAATTACTTTCCATGGTTGCGGGCAAAGTATTTCCTGGGCTCAGGTTGCGTTGTTTTGTGGCCTTTCCCCTGTCTCATTTTTTTCGCACGGTGCCTTCGGATGACCCAGAAACGAGCCGCCAGGTTCAGATCATTTATGAGCTGCAGTCACGGCTGGGGATGACATGGGGGCGCCCTCACCAATTGCAAAAAAAGAAGGTAGTACTTAAACTGGTGCTTGGAATATTGACCGTGGCTTATCTGCACTTGTCAGTAGGAAGTGATGCACCGCTGGGGCTGGGGGAAACAAAGGCGAACGTACTCCATGCGTTGTACGAGTTATAAGGAGCTAGGAGTAAAGCGTAAAACGGTGGGTTCCACCCATCATGATGATCCCTTGCTAGGTGTTGTTCCTAATCGCTCCAGCAGAAACATCAGAGGAAAGGAACCGCCCTTCATTTCGGCGGTTGAGCTAAGATTGTGAGAAATTGATCTCTTGCTATCTCTCTGTCCTATCTCTCTGTCTATATGTCCATCTGCCGACCCATCCATCCATCCATCCATCCATCCCTCCCTCCCTCCCTCCCTCCCTCCCTCTGTCCGTCCGCCCGTCCAGCTATCTATTCCATCTAGTCTATCAATTATTTCTCTCTAATCTTTCGGACTTGCGCTGGGCGTGATCGATCTGTCTATCTATCCATCCAGCAATGTCCTCTTTCTCAAAGCATCTATATACAGAAATCCGCCGGCACTGCCGGCGTGTCTTGTGGATGTTCTTGTATGTGTAGTCTTGTTTGTGTTTTAGTGCTGTGTTGTAGAATTGTTCTTTGGCGCGGATTTTTGCCTCGTCTAAACTGAAGTCACCCCCCCCCCTCCGTAGTCTTGCGCGGTCTTCCGGCTTCTTCCGGCTTCTTCCCGTAGTCTTCCGGCTTCTTCCCGTAATCTTCCGTAGTCTTCCGGCTTCTTCCCGTAGTCTTCCGTAGTCTTCCAGCTTCTTCCCGTAATCTTCCATAGTCTTTCGGCTTCTTCCCGTAGTCTTCCGTAATCTTCCGGCCTCTTCTCCTAGTCTTCCGATAGTGCTTCGGGACCAAACAACGCGCGTTAGGACTCAATCGCGTGTCCTGTGCTTTCGGGCTTCTTCCCTAGGCTTCGGGTAGTCTTCACCCCCCCCTGTCTCTGTCTATGTCTGTCTACGTATACGCGTCTGTCTTCGTGTCCGCGAAGACTGTCTGCAAGTCTTTGTGTCTGTCTGTGTCTGTCTACGTATCTGCGTCTGTCTTCGTGTCCGCGAACGGGTCTGTGCACGTCGTGCTTTCTCTCGTCCCGGGCCGGACTTCTGAGGTGTGTGGGGGCGGCGGAACCAGGCACAACACCCAACACCCAACACAACCTTAAGCACAAGCACAAGCGCAAGCAAGTAAGCGAGATCACGCGTGCTTGCGCTTGCGCTTCGATTGTGTTAAGCTTAAGCACAAGCGCACATAAGTAAGTGAAATCGCGCGTGTTTGCTTATGCTGCGCTTGCGCTTCGCTTGTCTACGCTTCAGCGGGGCGCGGGGGGAGGGGGGGGTGTGTCTGTTTTTGACCAATGTTGATCGCCCGCAACCATTTGGCTCAAGGCCCTTCTGTACCATAGCAATACTCATGATTGCGTGACAAAGGAACCTTTGCAGGCCGCTTACAGGATTATACAACAATACAATCCACCAGGGACAATCCATCCTCCAATCATCCATATTGGCATATTGGGCTCTCTCCGGAATAGATCCAGGGACCACATGAACGACCTCTACTACCACAGGGTACCAGTTCCCTTCTGGGATAGGTACCCCCGGCAGTGGGCCTCAATTGTGGTAGCGGAGCAGGTTTTCCGCAGAGATCCAAGTATGGCCAAATCATCCGGCTATACGGAGGAAACACTCAACTTCGCCAAGCAGCCGCCATCGTACGACGGAAAAGTCAGCTGGTTCAGGTATGAAGAACTCGTGGACGACTGGGTGACAACGGTAGTCGCACCCAAAAGAGGACCACTCCTCAAAAGCAGACTCACAGGAGATGCTTACATGTACAAGGCAGTCCTCCAAAATGACCTTTTGCAAGATCCTGATGAAGGAGTCAACTATTTCAAGAACACGCTGAAGAAGTACTTCCTGAAAGGTGCGACCAACGTGTATCTGTACAGGCTCCTCAGTTTCTTCAATCACAGAAGAGTCCCTCATTTCCACATCCAAATTCGAAATCCTTCTCATGAGATTGAAGGCAGCATGGATGGACTTAATGCCCGTCTACACGGCACAGTCCCCATCATTTCGACAGTCCGTACAAGACGCAAACAACAGAACAATTGCTCGACATCAGCAAGCAGCCGATCACGGGAATGCAGGACAGACAGCGGGACGCATTTCCCTTCGGGGATAATCTCATTGCGCAGTTTTTCATCATTCAGAGTGAATTGTCAGATCAGCAGAGAGAAAGACTGACCAGTGCCCTGTCACTGAGAAACATTTCACTCGAGAACTACTCCTATGAGATGCTGAAGACGCATTACCATGATCTCTTCATCACGACCAGGACATCCATCCAAGATCCATCCATCCGACCTCAAGGAGGCAACCAAAGCAACACATTCTTCATCCTCGAACAAGGTGAATACGAAGGAGAAGAAGGCTTTTGGGTTGAAGATGAAGAAGGACTTGAAGGATTCATGTCAAACAACGATGAAGAGACATTCTGGGTCCTCGAAGAGAACGATGCGTTCATAGCAAGAAAAGTGTCAGGGCGGAATTTCAGATTCAAAAAAAGAAAAGGAAAAGGAAAATCAGGAAACAAAAAGGGCAGTCACCAACGAGGTGGCTTTAAACCCTTTCGAAAAGCGGTTCTGGCGGGAAGGCCAATATGGCCAATGAAAACTATGATCCCTACGACCAGGCATATTGGGGAAAAGGCAAAGGAAAGAAGGGAAAGAAAGGAAAATCAAAATTCCAATATCCCTATGATGGAAACAAAGGTTATCCATCCTATGAGAATGGCAAAGGAAAAGGCGGACATGACAAAGGAAAATCCAAAACGTTCGCAGCCATCGCAGAGAAGCCGGAGGAGCATCCTGCCACGCAGCAAGTTGCTGAACTCCAAGAGCCTATGCCGGTTGGACAGACCAAGATTGGGATCAATCATGGACATGGAACGAACAAGGCTGGTACTCATCCCATGAGACATCCAGCACAGGACAAGCACTAATGGCATTCCATGACGCATATCAGCAACATGAGAAAGAAGCCATCCACGGGAAGCTGATCCAATCAGATACAGTTTCAGAACACAATTTATCCGTAACAACAAATCACAGCCTTTTGGCAACAAAGCTGATGGCGCCTGTCATCAACCCTCAGCACAATCTGACCTATGCGATCCGGGACAACGGATGTACCAGATCCATGGGCAGCTGGCATGCAATCCAGCGTTTTACTCAGGCCATCGAACCCATGAAGGACCTCATCTCCTATCAGTACATCCCGGCCGAGACCAAGTTCACTTTTGCAAACGGAGAAACAGCCAAGGTAAAAAAATTGGACCTTGCATCTCCGATATCACACAACCGTCAAGCAGTTCCAGTATCCGGTACAGGACATGCACTCGTCGACCTCGCTGGAGTTGCAAGAGTGAAAGCACATGGAGAAATTGCCATCAAGGGCCTCACACGTCTACGATGATGACAACAGCATCAAGCTTCCCTCCGGGGATATCTCCAAGAGTGAAACTGCTTGTGCATCCACATCATCCGAGACGAAGGAGGACCTAGCAACTCCTAAAATCATTGGGTCTCAAAAGCAGGACCATTGGATCCTTGATAAGAAGAACAAGCAGCTCATCCGTGTGCACATCACGCCTCGCAAGGCGCTGTTCACACCAAATGGAGCCAAGGAATGTCCAATCAATCCTGATAACATCAGCCGAAAGCGTACCACGGAAATCATAGATGCATCCAAAGGTGGAGATCCAGAAATCCTAGAAGACAATTGGAGACTTACATCCCAGGCAAACAAACCAATGATTAACCTGTGGAAAGGTAAGACCATTTTCACCTTTGCGGACAATTCGCTTAAGGACGAAGAAGCAGGTTCCGGATCGGCAGCAGACAGGATCATTGACAAGAAGGGCCGGTCGACCATGGAGCCAGATCCTTTTGCACCATCCTCAGATGAACCAACATCGCTTCCGATTGCCCTAGGCAGAATCCACAAGCGATTGTCAATTCCCGAGGAGTTGAAGAAGCTCCACCTCCAGCATTCATCACATGACAACAGATCAATTTCGGTTCAGAACTCGTTCGCTTCACTTGCCAAAATCAACAATCGATCTACTTGACAAAACCCGAAGTGAATGTGAAGTTTGCCAAGCGGCAAAACAATCACCATCACGAAGCAAAACGAGTGGACTTAGAGCGGACCCCCTCGGTGACATGACATTCATTGATCACTGTCAAGTTCCTCTTGGAACAGGAGAACACATCATTGTTTTTGTCATCCTGGATGGAGCAACAACATTGCTCACTGCAGGGGCAGTGACAACTACGCAAGA